CGACGTCGAGATTCAATTTTCTGCAATTATCGCCGTTGCTTGTATCAGGGTCTAAGTGAATAAAAGCGGGCATAAATTATACTCCTCTCGTGCGCTGCCTTTACGAACCTTTCCTTGTAATAAGGAGTGGAATTTATTGGCCGAGCTACACTAAAAATAATGCTACGGCCCTGGATTTAGTGTCTGGTACGCGATACAAGGGAAATCTAACTCAGATGTGTCTCCGCTCTGTCTGTCTCGTTATGTCCAAGTAACGATACCCGTGACGTGAGCTTTTCTCGTGTCTTACTGACACTGCCTTAGCGAACTTGACATTCGTGCTAAGAGCAACCAAACTCTTTGCTTTGCTTGATGTCGACGAATATTTCGGGTAATGTTCGGTTCGTAGGAACAAGGTCTTGGACAACTTTTAACGTCGCGTTGAAAAAGAAGCGAACCGACGGCAGTGCTTATGAAAAATTAGATGGAAAATTGGACGGAAAATTGACGGATGCTATTGCCTATTGCCAGAGCTGCCACACCGGGTCCGACAAATGTAAAACTGTCGTGTCGTGTCGTATCGTGTCGTGTCGTATCGTGTCATGTCGCATCCCTCCACTTTATTTTTAAATTGCAATGAAACAAGAATACAAACGAAAAGAAATGAAAAAAAAAAAAAAAAAAAAGAAGAAGAAGAAAACAAACATTTCGAGAGAGAGCCAAGCTTTTTATTTCCTTCAAGAAGGGATGATGATGATGATGTAGCCGCCGTCGGGCGAAAATGAGAGACGGGAGGTTCGTCCCACGGTTCTTAGTAAATTACCGAGTGTTGCATAACGTAATTGCCAAGGGATTGGGATTGTTCGATCGAGCGCCACAATATGTAGAAAGAAGGCAAAATGCGCCAGAGGCAAAGGAACGCGAAAGAATGAAATATTTGCCGCGCGACATCGTGTTTGCGCGTTTAATATTTGTCGTACGAATGCCAGCCGATGATAACACATAGAATCGCTTTTGTCTTTCCTTGTTATGACAAAGCGATATGGCGTTTACGCTCGCGTGTTATTAAAGATTATCGACGGTCAAAGAATCGTCTACACACGCCTATTACATTGTGCCAGCACACATAACTCACACTCGCACATTACATTGTGCCAGCACACATAACTCACACTCGCACAACACGAGAACAATGCTACCGTTAATTATAAAATTACGCCGCTCGCCTAACTCGCCGCGTGCGCGCATGTTTTGCAAAATTTCCGACCCCTTCCAGTCCACCCTCCATGTCCACGATGCCCAGGCAGATCATTGTTAGGTTGGCTCAAGATTTTCACTAATTCCGGGTAAGATAATACAAGCCGGTGATGGATACGAAGCAGCTCCACGTCGTTTATTAAGCTAATTCAATCACGCAATCGCAAAAGCGATTTTCTAGAGTAGGATAGGGGGGTTTGGAGGGTTGGATGATGGGGTGGGGTTGGGGAGGGAGGGATGTAGGGGGGGGGGCGAGTTGATTGTCCGTAAAAAGCGCGGCAATTTTACAAAACAAATTAAAAGCTCGGCTCGCGGTCAATTAGTCGAGCGCTTGAAGCGTGTAATTGGGCGTGAACGAGACGCGGTTTTCACTGTCGCACGACTAGCCATCCTCCCGAGCCATAAGTGGCACTCGACTGTTGCCAAACAAATTTTTATCCGCCCTGCTGATACTCAATTTCAAGTGACTGGAAAAACTAAAAGTATCGCTTGAAGCGAATTTCTTTGCTTCCGCCGTTTCATGCTATCGAGTAGGTTAAGGGCGTCGGCAGAGTCGGCGCACAAGCACAGCGAGTCCGCGTATGTTGATCTAATTATGGCAGTGAACTCTTACGGTTTATGCTTGGCTTTTCATGTAAGCTTGAAAATTAACTTTGTTATAATAGATGAATGTGCAAACGTCGCAAGTTAAACGAAACTTTATCAAACTTGTATATACTCGCGTGCCCGAGACTCTTTTGTACCTCCAGTATAACTACGATGTATAATATCTGCATTGTCTAGCTTCAATAACCACTTACAAATATATATTTTACAAACAACGAAACATAAATAGGAACTTTGTGTTAGCCTTTAATCTTACGCTTTGGATATTTCAAAATTATATTATATTATATATTATATTATATCTAAAGATCATAAAATCAAAGTAAGTACATTAGTTATTTTAATTGTTTTCATAATTTTAGGCTAGCGATGCGAACAAATCATATAAGTCCCAAATGATATATATGATTCCGGAAATAATAAATATAAATTACCAGAATACTTCGTAATTATCAGTGAGTAATATTTAATTCAACTAATTATTGTGTAATAAAATTTATTCAATATTTAAAAAGCGATTATGCTTCTAAAAAATCTAACAATTTTTTACGATGTTTTATTGTTCAACGTTTTCAATATTGTAAACTAAATCCCTAAAGGTTCGACTTTTTCTCTACAAAATGCGTAAATCAAAATTTATCTGCGACGAGACACGTTATATGTATTTTTTCAAAAAATCATTGAAAGTACTTGAGAATAAAATTAAATTGCAGTAAAAGAAGTAAAATCAAATGTACGAAACATCGTAACACTTATTTAAGCAATAATTGCTATATCGACATATAAGATATCTAGACTTGTAGGCTTTTTTCCCGTATTTTTCAATCTCGGTCCATTATCACAATTCGAGCAAGATATTATCAAATCTCTCTCTCTCTCTCTCTCTCTCTCTCTCTATATATATATATAGCTTGTCCATCGAAAAGAAAACGGCTGCATCAATTAGATATTGTCAATGAAGAAGGAGTAGGCGGTGCGCATATGATTTCAGCGCGTAAGCGCACGTGGGTTTTGCGTTCGCCAGACAAATGCGTTTATTCGGCTGCAAGAGTGAGAGGAGATTGAGAAAGAGAAAGGGTAAAAGGGAGTAGGATGGATGGATGGGGCGAGGCGCGGGGTTAGCGGGGGTTATGGGGGGTTAGCGGGGGGTGTGGGGGGGGGGGGGATTTTGGCGGTGGAAGAGCAAGTGAGCGAGAGAATGAAAGAGTTAGAAAGAAGATGAAGACGGGGGCGGCCGTCCAGTGGGGGGCTTTAATGAGGATGCCGCTGATTATCCAATTCGTGAATTCTCGCTACATTTTCATCGCGCTCGTCTAACCGCGAGTAACAAGATCGACTTGTCGCGCAACGGTCCGCGCCTGTGCACATATACGCCCCTGTAATGCGCCCACGCACGCGCGCCCGCACGCAATGGTTCCCTGTAAATGCTTGTGCCTTACTGATGTCGCTGTCCTATTACTAGTCTCTCCCTCTGCCTCCGCCCATCTGTATCCCATTCACCAATTCTGCGCCCCCCCCCCTGGCCGCCACCAGCCACGCTCGCCACAACTCGCCAATTGCCCGACTTATTTTATTCGTGAGTCTTGGTGAGGTGTTGTTACAAAAAAAAAAAAAAAAAAAAAAAAAAACTTCAAATTATGCAATGGTAGCGAATGGATGGTGGTAATTTTGAATTTTTTAGCTCTTCAAAGTTCGCGCAGACCTCGTCGTCTTTAATATTGCTTTACTTACCGAGTGAAATATTAGAAAACGCGACTTTTCACTTTCAACGACTCCAACGTAAATGTACTGCAACAATGACGCGTTTAAGCATAGCCGAGGAAGCTTACTCTAATTACATTTTAATAATCATCTCCACTACGCGTCACCAAATTCATGTTTCCACGTGCTTAATTGTGCTCCGTCCCAATGAACTTACAATTGACAACATTTATTTTATCCCGCATATTTATGTTTACAAACAAACGATGGCTTGTAAAAAGAAAAAAAACTTCTCTCAGACAGGAAGTCCGAAATTACGAGCCTTTTAATCCTGATACTTAAAATCAAGCGGCCGCGGCCCAATAACAATCTTACAAAACTTCTTCGTTAATTGTTTTAAATTGATAAATCTTTCGGTGATAATTAATTTTGCTGCGCGTGCCGAGATATTCGAGTATTATCGACGAATGTTTGACGATACCCATACTTTCCGTCGATATATAATAAAATTCATTACCGTGAAATGAGAAGTGGAAAGGGACAATATATATCATTCAAAGTGGTTGATTTATATTGAAATAGAAGATACAGACACAAAGCGGGGAGGTCGATTAATATTGAAAAACATTGTGTAGGGCGATGGTGGGGTGGGGAGAGAGAGAGAGAGAGAGAGAGAGAGAGTGAGAGAGAGTGAGAGATAGGGGGGGGGGTAGAGGAACATGTTAAAATGCACACCGCAAGACATTTTTTTCAATGTGTCTGCGTTTAAGGAACATCCACGTTAGTAATCATCATCATCAATTTTAATTTAATAGTTGTCATAGATACGACGTTCAATTCTAATATAATAGTTGTCTCGGATTTCACGTGCTCTATGCTCCCGCATCATCAAGCCATAATTAGAGTAGACTTTAATTGCCTTGGAAAGGAAAAGTACTCATTCTTATTTTATTAAGAATCAAGTATGGGATTCGATATGCTGTTTGACAGCTTCTCTTTTTTATCGGGGGAACGTCAATTATAGCTTTTTACGAAACCGTTTAGGATTACTGCATTTTGCGATCGCGTTGCGGATACCATAATTACAGTCGTTAATATTAACGTACGTACACACTTACCTTTCAGCCATAAAACGAAGCTTTATCAACTTGGCTGCACTTGACTGGATTACACGTGAAACGAGCAGTAATACGCTTCGGTCACATTATACAATAAATATAAACTTAAAGGCTTATTAGCAGCGTTAGGATAATGAAATAATTGCACATAAATTTTGATAAGGTTATGTTTGCTCCTAACGGTACGTGCTCCCGAAGGGCGCGACGAATCGCCAATTATACAAAATTATGAGGACAAATTTGAAATAAGGACGGAACGTGGACACGCTTGCGCATCGCGAGAGCTTTGAAAACCTACGCATGCATAATAAACGCATAATAAATGAAGGAATAATGTGCGGGACTTACCAAGGGAGCTCTCAGGATCGGAGAGGTCCGAGAGCGAAGGCACCTTGCGCATGGCGAAGGCCCCGGCGAAGCGGCCGGGAATGTTGGGCACTAGGCCCTCCTCCTCCGCGTCCGAGGTCAGCTCCTGCTTCATGTACTTGGCCATCATCATCATCACGCCCGAGCCGGACATGCCGCCTATGCCGCCTATGCCGCCGCCGGCGATGCTGCTGCAGCCCAGCAAGCCACCCACGCCGCGCGCATCCCGCTGAAACGAGGCGAAAGAGAGAGAGTGGAGGACATTAATGTCTCGTCGTGTTTACTTGAGCGGGAGGTCCGACTGATAAGGTCGCTCCGCGAATTCGGGGGAAGGGGAAGGGGCAGTCGCGATTTTGGCATTGTCTCGGGCGTCGCATACGAGCCGGTAGGAACGACAAGTGCAGCAAGATTTGGATAAGCTCTCGACCGGACGTCGTCGTTTCGTCATCCATTGTGGGTGCAGGGCTGCGAGATTTAATTGCTCATTTAGCAGGCATTAGCCAAATTAATTAATAATATAACGTGAAAAATAATTGATATAAACTAGTGCTCCCCTCCCACCTTCCCACCACCTCCCATCCAATCCCTATCCCCAACCCCATATCCATCATCACCCTCGCCCCCACCCCCCTAACGACCAATTTAAAGCAGCCGTAATTGGTAACGTGTGTGTGTGTGTGTGTGTGTGTGTGTGTGTGTGCGCGCGCGCGTGCGTGTGCACCATTGGCACTTGATACTTTTTAGTAGTTTACTGGTTAGTTCCAAGTTCGCGTCGTCGCCGCTTCACATACTCTATCGGCACGTATAAATATAAATAGAGAAGCTCTTACAACGCCGCGATAACAGTAAATCCATTTATGTTCCATACTTACCGTCTATTGCTGATAAACTTCAATTTGTAATTTGACCTTATGCAGGTGATTCGCGTGGCTCTAACTATTCGATGCCGACTGTATAAGGATTTATGTGCGGCGCCGTATCAGCGCGAACAGCGCGCGAAGAAGTACTGTTTTATTGACTTGGATTCATTGTTTTGTTAAAAGCGAGGACGCATAAATCAATGAGCGCTATTCTGATGAATGAATGGAGGGGAACTATAGCGTTCGGCGTTGCAAGTCTCTGTTTAGGAGTGCACTAACGAAGATAAATAGATAGATGGATATATAGATATAGATAGATAGATAGATTGATTGATAGATTGATAGAAGAGATGAATAAGTGGATAGAAAGATATTTTTTTTTTTTTTTTTTCCCCCCCCGAACAATAAGAAAAATGTTGTATTTCAATGCAAATGGGGGATTTTCATAGTAATTTTTAGACGACTAGTAGTGAGTAGCAATATTATGCATTTGATAATTATAAAAAAACTGTCTATGGCGATATGTTAATCGACAATTAAAGAGCCAATAATTGAATGGCAATAATTCTCTCCTAATGATAGGTATTCTAATTTATTTTGCCATTTTCATTCCGTTCGAATTTAATAACAAAATTTAATTACAAAACAACATGCTCGCCATTATTTCATATTTTATTCTTATTATGAAATGTTAGTTATTTTTGGCACGAAATGAAATAAAGACAGGAAATAGAAAAATAAATAAAGCTGCAATTATTCCTGTCGATAATAATTTATACACAGTCGAAAGTACAATTACTTAAATATACAAATGATTTATAAATAAATTTATGAAATAAAAGCAAATCTTATTTACGGATATTACCTAAAAGGATGATAATTATTTTAAAACTATTTTAAAAAATATGAATGTTGTTACATCATTCGCTTATATTAACCAAAACAATTTCTTACTATTTTCAACGGTGCTAATTATAAATAATGTATCGTTCGCAGTTTTGGATTTTACTCTCATTTCTCAGCATCAAAAATATCGGCCTTTTATTACATTTGGCATATTTTTGTTAATATGTTAATAGAACATTATAATAAAAGTTATTTTTAATGGCATGCTCCTATCCTCATAAACGTACGCGTAAGCGCACGCGCAGCAACGCATTTTTGCATTTTCTCTAACCCACATTACATTTACTCATCTACACGCGAATCCTTTCGACTGTTTATATTTACATAATTAACATATTGTAATTGACAAACATTTACATTTTTAAATTCCACATCGGTGTCAATTATTTATTGTTCTTGAAATAACAAAAGCCATTCAACTAGTATAATTCACGCTAAAAGGGAAAGGCATATGTGATTTTACTTTAACGCAAACAAACCCCACGTGTCTTGTAAACCCAAAATGTGCTTATACTGCTCTACTCGTTCTTTCGCCTTTATCGCATAAAGCGCGCTTATAGACAGTTGATATTTCAGATTGTCATGTGCTTTTATAACGAGCGAATAATAAAGAAAGAACGACGCATTCATTTATTTATTAATTTATTTATTTATTTATAATAATTATAATAATAAGAAGAATAAAGAGAAAATAAAGTGAAAAAAAAAAACTGAAAAAAAGAAAGAAAGAAAGAAAGAAAATCTACGTGTAGATAATAAATGTACGTTAATTGATGAAAATATTGCGCGTAAATGTATGCGCGCGCGTAAATCAACGCTCGCCAACGAGAACAGAAATAAAGTTAATTCGTTGTACGAAACATTATCATACATAGCTCTACGTATATTAATCATCGCTTATTATCGTGTAAGTAAATATTACATGCTATTTAATAGCAAATTAAAATCTGAATTTGTTATTATTATTCCAGAGTGGTCTTTACTACCTCGATTCATACATCCTACGGATATTCTAGCGCATCGGCAGCACAAAGAAGCAAGTGGAAAAAAAAAAAAAGAAGAAGAAGAAAGATATTGGCCACGGGATGTGCATATACTTGCAACCGCTATCCATAAGAAAGAATCTGTAGGATAAAAAAAGCAGCGATAATGAGAAGAAAAAGTGGTGAGCGGCGGTGAAAAAGAAAAAAGAAGAAGAAAAAAAACCGAAGAAAAACAGCGACGTGAAGAAACTGGAAGAGACGAAACAAGAGAAACGACGAGCGGTAGAAGGGTGGGGAGGGGGGGGGAGGGGGTTTACGTATAATACAAGTACAAGACAAAGAACCGAAGAGCCTGAAATGTGGAGTAGTAGAGAGTAAGAAAGAAGGAGACACATAGCGCGGCGATGAATATAAGGCTTCACCACGCGGCCCAGTCTCGCTTCTCGCGACTTTGTATGACGTACGCACTCGTACAGTACCGCTCATAAATATTTTCAAGTATTGTGAATGTGAACGATCGGCGGGTCATACGGCGGTTCGACGAGGCACCGTTGCTTCCGAAATAACTTTTTAACAATATGACGGGAAATCTTGACGTCCGATGGTGCGAAACGCCGCGCCTCGTGGCTCACCTTTAACATTCTCCGTCGCCCTCCTCAATGCAATAATCTCGATAAGCACCCTATACCGTCAAACACCCCCCCCCCCAAACC